TTTTTTTTTTGCGGGGGGGGGGGAAGGGTATTTTAGGGAAGGATCTACAGGGTGTACAGGGCCTCACTACTAGATTGGACTCGTAGTGATCCGCCTGTTTACAGTCTCCCAAGAGCTGGGATTACAGGTGTGTGCAACCACACCCAGTCTCAATTGCCCACTCAGCACACCCTGGGGGCAGTGCCAGGACGGCAGGCCTGGGAACAAACCCCCGCCCCTGCACCTGCTTGCAGGTGCTTTTAATCCACTGAGCTATTTGGCCAGCCCTCAAACTGAATATTTATGAATCCACCTAATCAAGGAGATGAAAGATCTTTATATAATGAAAATCACACAACTCTTAAGAAAAAACTGAAGAAAACATAAATGGAAAAAGATTAGATGTTCCTGGACTGAGAGAATATTGTTACAATGCCCATACAACCAGAAGTGATCTACAGATCAATGCATTCCCCACTAAAATGCCAACAACACTCCTCACTGAACTAGAAAAAGCAATCCTGAATTCCATTTGGAATCAAAAAAGTCCTAGATAATAAAGGCAACTCTGAGCAAAAAGACCAACGCTGGAGTCAATACTATACCTGATTTCAAGCTATACTATAAAGCCACAGTAACAAAAACAATATGATACTGGCACAAAAATAGATGTATAAACCAATGGAATGGAACAGAAGATACAAAAACCCAAGCAATGAAAGCCAACTGACTCCTCAACACAGCCAAAAACATGCTAAAGAAGACAGTCTAATAAATGATGCAAGATGAACTGGATGGCCACATGCAGAAAATTAAAACTAAATCCCTATTTCTCATTGTCTTGGTTACTTTTCTTATTCCTGGAACAAAATACCTGGCACCCAAAGCTCCAAGAAGGAAAGGTTTATTTAGCTCAGTTTGCAGAGGCTTTGGTCCATAATCATCTAGCTCCAAGGCAGGGTGGCACATGGCAGAGGGGCAACAGTTCATGGCAACAGCCAGAACAGCAAAAGTAACCAAAGCAAAAAGGGAAAAGCATACCTCTAAAGATTTCTTCCCTTATACTGTATGCAGGCTGCCTGCCCTAGTGCAGATGTAGCACTCAAACCTTCCAACCCCAGCACTAGAAAATGAACCAGTCACAAACTCTAAATTTAGCTACCTCCTAAAATCCTGCCCTCCATGACCACATGAGGCTTTGGAAGGGACATCCAGACACAAACCATAACATTCAGCCTGTACTAAAAAAATCAAAACATATCTAGGACCTAGCCATACAAGTAAAACTAGAAACACTGAAACTGATGGAAGACAACACAGGGGAAATACTTTAAGCCATAATCACAGGCAGACTTCCTGAACAGGACTTCAAAAAGCACAGGAAATAATGTGAAGAATCAACAACCAAAACTATATTAAGTTAAAAATTTCCTGCACAGCAAAACAAAAAACAGAGTAAAGAGATACCTATTGAATGGGAGAAAATTTTTGCTAGCTACTCTTCCAATAGCAGATTAGCATCTATGTCAAGAACTGAGGGGCCGGCCAGATAGCTCAGAGGACTAAAGAGCTTGTTTAGGCAGATGCAGGGACCAGAGTTCCATCCCTGGTCTGCTGTGCTGGCCGGGCCCCCGGGCACACTGAGACATTGTTTGAGATTGGGCATAGTGGCACCCGCCTGTAAACCCAGCACATGGGAGGTTGAAAACAGGAGGATCACTATGAGTCCAATCTGTATAGTGAGACACTGTAGCCCTGTACTAAATACATTTAAAAAAAGAACTGAAAGAAGTTAATCTCCCTAAAATAATGTATCCAATAAAAAGTGACAAATGAACTAGATACTCTTTTTTTCCCTGTATTTAGGACATTGTCTACAGGTTTACAGGGTCACTATGTAGTTTGGATTCGTAGTGATTCTCTTGTTTCCAGCCTCCCAAGTTCTGGGATTACAGGCATGCGCCATCACTCCCAGTCTCAATTGCTGTCTCAGCATGCCCCATGGGTGGGGCTGGCACAGCATGCCGGGGAATCAAACCCAGGCTGCTGCGCTCTAAGTAGGCGCTTTTGTCTCCTGAGCTATTAGGCCAGCCCTTGAACTACATAGTTTTCAAAAGAAGTTCAAATGGCCAAAAAGTATATTTAAAAAATGTTCAAATCTCTAGCCATCAGAGAAATGCCAATTAAAACTAGACTCAGTAGTAAGCCCCAGTCAAAATAGCTATCATCAATACAAAAGGAATGTTGACAAAGATATGGGAAAAAAGGAACTTTAATAAAATATTTAAAAATAGAAATTAAATCTCCAAACATGTTCAATATAAACTTTTTGAGTCATTATAACTGTCATCCATCCATGTTTCAAACTACTTACATTTTCAGAATAATATGTCAAGAGAATTCCGTCCTCTCTGCTAAAACATTACTTCATAGTTAACTGATGGGAGCTCACTAACATTTGAAACATGTATTTTCCCTCTTTCTAAAAATCTAGGTCTTGATGGACAAATCTCATTACTTCCTTTAAAGTCTATCCAAGATTTCAAACATTACTTTAGGCTATTTCCATGTGCTAACCCCTAAAACATTTTTGATTGTATACCCTTCTCACATATTTTCCAAACTAGTAAGATCTGACATTTACCATCTAAAAGTCCTCATTCTTATATTCATTTGTCCTTTTATCATGTCCAGAAAATATCTTTTAGGAAGCGCAGAAACTATAGGTTCACATAGTACTCTAGGTAAAAGTGCTTCTTAATTTTATAGATGTTGAAATGTCCTACTATTAGGAAATGGCAGACAGCAAAGCTTTGTACATGCTAGGTAAGTGTTCTACCAATCAGATTACACCCCATGGCCCTCCAATATTGAAGAATTCCAATGTACTCTTGATCTTTCCCACTGAAACCTGTACTCATATCAACTTCAAGCCTTCAAAACTACCTACTTACTTTACCTTAATAAATTAGTTGAACAGAGCCAGCCATTATCCAATCTCCTATAAAAATAGGCAAATTAAGTGTAAGAATTCTATGCTTTATAATCACAGATCAATTACAAAAATAGTAATTAAAGATGTAAGTCACTGCTCTGGAAGTTTACTAGGTAAAAAAGTTTTTAAACCTAGGACTAAAAAGTAAATGTGAAATACAAATTGCGTAATTGTTTTAGTCCACTTTGTGCTACTGTAACAGAACACCCGAGACACAATAAAAAGAACAGAAATGTATTTTTCACAGTGCTTGAGACTGGGAAGTCTAAGACCTAGGTTGGCCATCACCCATCACTTGTCTTGTCTGGGTCTTCCTGCTTCATCCTCACTCAGCACAAGGCAGAGCTAAAGACTTCCTAAGATCCTTAATCTCATTAACAAGACAGATGGCCTAATCATCTCTTTAAGGCTCTCTACCTCTTAATACTATCACACTGGCAACACCTGAATTGTGGAGGTAAGCTACAAACTACAGCAATAACTGTAGACATATTTTAATTCCACTTGAAATAGGTCAGAGGAATAAACTATCACAAAAGCAGTAATATAGCAACTAAAGAAGGGAGGGGCACAAGCACCTGCCTGACAAGTGCAAAGTTCTGAGTTCAATCAATCCCTAGTACCAAAAAGGAAGGATGAAAATAAAAATTATCCAAGAGAAATAATTTTTTAAATGAAAGAAGAAAATAAGGATACATATATAACAGACTCTAATTGAAGATAAACATATAAAGTCATACTAGGATTCCTAAAGAGAAGTATTAACTAAGTATTAAGAGATCTGAAATCCAAAGAGAGATTTGCCCCAACTAACCAAGTAAGCTGAGCCAAGTCATTTTCCTAAGATCTCAGTTTTCTCATCTTTGAAATTAAAATAATCAAATGTGCTCTGAGTCACCCTGCTCTAGAATTCTCAAGTTATGTTACTGAGAAACAAACTATCAAAGTGCTATCTGCTTACTGTACACTCCCACTTTTCTTTATTACTCACCAAGCAGAAGCAAATTTAATTTTCGGACCCTGCCTAGTACTAACTAGAAGGGACTAGAATAAAACTGAGAGCTTTTCAAATGATTAATGTTTCTCAGGCAGAAAACAAAATGTTTCACATTACCATTATTCCATATCCAAATAACAACTGTACAGCACAGTTTTTTCTTAAAAAGAAAAAAAATACTATGTTACTGCATTTTAAAAAGTACAGTTTTACCTACAGAAAAATCTAAAATTCAATGGTGATCTCAAGATCTGTTGATCACTCTCTAGTAAGTTTTAATGCAATCTTTCAAGCCTATGAACAGAAAAGCCATGGGAAAACAGGCTCAGAACCACAAAACTACAGTCTATTTCTAGGAAAAGACAAAACCATCCTTTCAAGGTACAATTTCCATTTTACTTAGTACACAAATGGAGCCTTACTCAATCAATCATGCAAAGTAGATCTTAATAGCCTAAAACAAATACATCAGACATTATAATATCATAATACTGAATTAACAACAGCCAGGTGTGATAGCACACACTCATAATCCTAGCATTCATGAGGCTGAGGTACAAGAATCACCAAGAGTTTGGGCCAGGGCTACATAGTGAGTTAAAAGTTGGAACTACAGGGCTGGTGAGATGGCTCAGCGGTCTAAAGCACCTACTTATACTTAGAACAAGCTTAGCAAAGCACAGGGACCGCGGTTCAATCCCCCAGCACCACATGCCAGCCAGCCCCGCCCCCTGGTGGGCTGAGCTGGCCACACACACACACACATACACACACACATAAATAAATAAAATTCTAAAAAAAAAAAAAAAAGTTGGAACTACACAGCAAAATCCTGTCTCAAAAAGCTACAAAAACAACAAACAAAACAGAAGCAACAGATTATAAATTTCAAAAACATGTTTAACTTCATTTTCTATATTCCACTACAAGTAATCTCCACAAAATCCCCATTTTAATAAAATTTTAAAGCTCAGTAGCCCAAACAAATTTATCAGTGAAAAATAGTTTCACAAATTTTTAATATCTTACCTCTATACCAGGACTAAGGCTGCTTGGCAGTGTTTCTGAAGTCACAGTAGTGCTTGGAAGGCTAGAAATTTCCCAGGTATTCACAGGCTGAATTGGTTCAGACTGCTTTGAATGATCTATACATTTTGGATTATCCAGTAAGGTCACTTCATAAAATTCTTGAATATCTGGAGTCAAGAAAAGTAAAAACAAATTTTAAAGTATTTATATTTTTAGTTAAACTATGTAATATTAGAACAATCAAAAGCAAAATCTTTAATTAGAAAAGTTCAATTTTACAATGTACTTCAACAATGAACATTTCATTATGTTGCAATGCTATAAATCATAAGCATGTTACATTTCAAATGACATACTATGTTCAAATCCCTATGCCATTACTAATTAGCTACTAAACCTCTAATTAACTTGCCTCTTGTAAATTGCTGTAAGGACTGAACATAACACACTGCTTAATACAACAATACTTTTTTTTTGTTTCTGTATTTTAGGGAAGGGTTCTACAGGGTGTTCAGGGTCTCACTAGTAGATCAGACCCGTAGTGATCCACCTGTTTTACAGCCTCCCAAGAGCTGGGATTACAGGCACATACCACCACACCCAGTCTAAACTGCTTTCTCAGTGCACCCTGGGGGGCGGGGACAGCAAGGCAGGTCCAGGGATCTAACCCAGGCCGCTGCATCTGCTTGCAGGTGCTTTAATCAGCTGAGCTATTTGGCCAGCCCCAATACAGTAACACTTAACAAGTTCCTAACATATGGTAGCTAATATCATTATTATGAGTTGTGCAAATTCAATGTATTACCAAGGTTTAGTATCTTTACTAACTATATCCAGGCCACGAATGTAACCTTAAGTAGTATTAACTGCCTTTCTAACCAAAGTAAAACATTAGGAAATGTTAAAATCCAAAAAATAGGATTTTTGGTTATTTGTAAATCTGATTTTTTTTTTTTTTTTTGCAGAACCGGGGATTGAACTCAGGCCCTTGCGCTTGCCAGTCAAGTGCTTATTCTACTGAGCCATCTCCCCGGCCCCTAATCTGAATATTTTTAAAAAGTTATTTATTTTATAGTATTTTAGAAATCAAGACATGACAAAATCCTAAAACTATCAATTTATGTGTAACTAGCACAATCTTATTTATTTTAAATTTTTAGTTTATGTATTTGGTATAGGGTCTCACTATGCAGCCTGAAAGTGATCCTCCAGTTTGAGTTTTCCCAGCACTGAGATTACAGGCATGCACTGCCTTGCCTGGTTTTGATTGGTGGCTAGGCAGGCTCAGGGCAGGGGCAGGGGCAGGGGTACTGGGGATCAAAGGGTCCTTTCACTTGCCTAGCAGGCACTTAGACCACTGAGCTATCTCTTTGGCCCAGCACAGTCTAATTTAAAAGATCAAGTTATGTTGCTATCAACTGGAATATGAACTCTGTGTATCAGTATATTTATAACAGTTACTCTGCTCAGAAATACCGAGTGGTAATTACATAATGTTTAGATTCATCCTCTGAGTTCTTTATTCTACTGGTGTAATTTTGAATTGATTTTTTTATAAAGGGAAAAAATTATTTAAAGATGAGAATTATCATGAACAGAATCATGAGCAGTGATTACAAGTAACATTTAGATAGAATAACTTCTTGCTAAAACCACTTTGGGTATGAGTAACTTGTTCTGCTAGTGTTCAAGACAAGCAAGTTTTTCTAATAAACTTTAACTTCATAAATATGTGAGTCTTGCAATACAAATATGCTGAATGTCACACTTGAAAGGTTATGGGGGAGACCACTATCAGCAGAGAAGGAGAAAAAGGCAGAGGAGTCCCTCCCTTCAAACCACATTAGGGAGATCGGTAAAATGCAGGACATAGTGCAAAGTTTTGTAGAAAAGCACCCCCTAAGTTGTAGCAGTACAAGCACTAAATCTGTTTAACAATGCTGTATTCCATCTCCATGAAATCCTCAAGAATCAAAACCAAGTGTCACAGAATATGTTCCTTGTTAAAGCTGCACGACTATTTTGTTCCATCAATAGTCTAATAACCATCAAATTAATGGTTATTAGTCCAACCTAATAAGAGGTGAGACTAATACTGTGACAAAGTATTTCTACAAAATAATATAGGATTCAAAATACTTTTTACCATTTCTTGACTGGGGAGAACAGAATCCTTTAAGGTACCTACCTTAAAATTTTAATGATAGTTATCCCAATAGAAGTCAAAGAGAAGATAAAAACAAATGGTAGGGCTGGAAATATAGTTCAGTGGTGCACTGCTTGCCTAGTAAGCACAAGGTCCTGAGTCTAATGGGGGAGGGGGGACTAAAAACAAATGATAAAATGAACATGTCAAAGTCATGTAAACTTCAAGTTATTCGGGTGTGCAGCTAAATAAAAGTGTCTGCTAGTATTCATGAGGCCCTGGGTTCCATTTCCAGCACCACACCCAAATAAAATACCAAGAGACACTCACGTTATTACCAAAAAAGCTTTGTGAGTTTACTCTGAACATTTAAGGTATTCATTTACTAAATACTGGAGTATTTATTGGAGTACTAAATAACAGAGTGAGTAAGCTGTGGAAGAGGAACAGAGAAAGGGGTAAAATAAAGAATGCTAAATAGAAATACATATGTAAATGCAATATTTATTTCAGAAATATTATGTCTTCAATATTCCTGGGAAACCATTAATAAAACTTCAAAAAAAAAACCTGTATCATATAAACAGTTATTTAAAATGGTACAGGCCTACTAATATGGAAAGATGTCCACTGGATGAAGTAAAAACAGTTATACAAGACTGGGTGTGGTGGCATGTGCCTGTAATCCCAGCTCTAGGGAGGCTGAACACAGGCAGATCACTATGAGTCTGATCTACGTAGTAAGATCCTATAGACCCTGTAGATCCTGTAGTACAATACATACGCACAAAAAAAAAAAAAAAAAAAAAAAAAAAAATTACCCAGTTCAGAGAAGTCACAATATTGACATGTACATAAATTCAATTATAGTACCACACAAACAGCCAATTCTACCTGTCAGTCCATCCAAAAGTAAATTCCACAAAAATTTTTTAAAAATGAGGGGCGGGGAAATAGCTGAGTGGAATAAGTGCTTGCCTGGCAAATGCAAGGTCCTGAGTTCGATCCCTGGTACCACCAAAAAAAAAAAAAAAAAGAAAAAAACAAAAACAAAACAGAAGGGAGTTGAACACTATGGCACATAAATGTAATCCTAACTACTCAAGATACTTAGGAAAGAGGACAGTAAGTTTGAGGGCAACATAGACTGTGTCAAAAAGGGGGGGGGAGAGGAAGAAAGGGGAGACACATGCCTATAATCCCAGCGCTGAGGAGGCTGAAAATAGGAGAATCACTACAAGTCGGAGCTGTGTAGTAAGACCCTGTACCAAATAAATAAATTAAAAAAGAAAAAAAAAATATATGAGCCTACATAGATAAAATGACTTTGAAGAAATATTTATAGATCCATTTATAGCTCTATGACTCCAAGGTTCTAAGTAGAATTCAAACAACTTCAACACAAAACACTGCTTCAGACCTGTAGTAAGCAAATCTATTAGCAAATAAATAATTAAATAAAAATCACTGGGTGAAAGGGCCAGGGATATAACTCAGGGGCACGGTGCCTGCCTGGTAAACGTAAGGCCAAGTTTGAGTTCCGGTTAAAAGAAAAAAGAACCACGTAAAAAGACAATACAGGGCCAGCCAAATAGCTCAGCAGATTAAAGCACCTGCAAGCAGGTACAAGGGCTGGGGTTTCAATCCCCCGGGCCTGCCGTGCTGGCCCCACCCCCGGGGCACGCTGAGACAGCAACTGAGACTGGGAGTGGTGGCATGTGCCTGTAATCCCAGCTCTTAGGAAGCTGTAAACAGGTGGATCACTAGGAGTCCAATCTACTAGTGAGACCCTGAACACCCTGTAGACCCTTCCCTAAAAAATGAAAAAATATTTTTTTAAAAAGACAATACAATTCTCCTTTGAGTCCATAAAATTTTAGCCAACAGTTTACCCTGACATTTTCCTCATTCAAACTTGGTCATTAAAGTTATATGTTGCTAGGGGTGGGAGCACATACCTGTATTCCCAGCATGCAGGAGGCTGAAACAGGAGGACTGCTTTGAGTTCAAGGCCAGCCTGTACTACGAAGTGAGTTGAGGCCAGTCTGAACTACATAGCGAGACCCTGTCTCAAAAGACTAAAAAAAAACCCTCCAAAGTTATATGCCAAGCAAGGTGGCACATGCCTGTAATCCTAGCATATTGGAGGCTGAGGCAGAAGGACAGCCATGAATTTAAGGACAGCCTGGGTTACAAAGTGAGTTCAGGGCCAGCTTGAACTAAAGAGTGAGACCTCATCTCAAAAACAAACAAACAAAAAAAAAAGAGTTGGGGAGATAGCTCGGCAGCGTAAGTGCCTGCCTGACAAGCCCATGGTCCTGAGTTCAAACCTCTGTACCACATGCCATGCCAACACCAGAACCAGAAGTGGTGGCACATGCCTATAATCCCAGTACTAGGGAGGCTGAGGAGATCATTACGAGTCCAAACTGCCTAGTGAGACCCTTATCAAAAAAGGAAAAGTTATAACCCTCTTAGGTTAGCTACATATTAAATGTAACACTGGTTATAACAATTGGCAAAAAGAAACAAAACCACAAAGAAATGCTAACATATGACCAATATAGCTAGAAACCTTCATCTCTTCATCTCATTACTAAGTACACAAACTCCTCAAACTGTATAAATTCCACCAATATAAAGTTAACTCATCATTATAAACATTCTTTCAAGTGACCATTGTTTTAAAAGAGAAATCTTAAATATGCTTGTTATTAGTGTTGCTACATTTAAAATATTCAACTTTGAAAATAATGACAAGATTCTAATGATTGGGCAGAAGACAGCTCAGCAGCATAAGTGCCTGCCTGACATGCACAAGGTCCCAATTTGATCCCCTGACTGGAAAAAAAAAAAAAAAAAAAAAAAAAAAGATTCTAATGGTTGAAGAGGGCTCTGCCCTCAGATTAAATTTCTAGCTAATCAATTTAGTATCTGAAGGTCAATGGACAAGCCTGGCTATTTCTTAGTACCTGTCTTCTATAAAATAGTATGGTCAGGTGCGGTGGCATGACTGTAATC